AACATAAACCCAGATGGTGCACCATTCTATAGAGTGTGCTTGGATACTTCAAAAACACCAACATTTCAGCCTAGCGCAGTGGCTCATGCCTGTAATCCCAGCACTTCGGGAGGCCGAGGCGGGCGGAGCACGTGAGGTCAGGAGTTTGAAACCAGCCTGGCCAATATGGTGAAACCCCGTCTCTACTAAAAATACAAAAATTAGCCAGGCGAGGTGGCTCATGCCTGTAATCCCAGCTACTTGGGAGGCAGAGGCAGGAGAATCATTTGAACCCAGGAGGTAGAGGTTGCTGTGAGCCAAGATCACACCACTACACTCCAGCCTGGGTGTCGCAGCGAGACGGTCTCAAAACAAAAAAAATAAACCAAAAAAACCCATGAAAAAAAAATAAAACACCATCAACGTCTCGAAAAACAAAACCAACAAAGTAGGGAAATTTTGATTTGTAAAGAGACTAGAAAGACTAGAAGGACATGGTGGCCTGGCACGTTGGGTCACACCTGTGATCCCAGCACTTTGGGAGGCCAAGGCGGGAGAATCACTTGAGCCTAGGAGTTTGAGACCAGCCTGGGCAACAAACTGAGACTCCATCTCTACAAAAAAATTTAAAATTAGCTGGGCATGGTGGCATGTACCTGTGGTCCCAGCTACTTGGGAAGCTGAGGCAGGAGGATTGATTGAGCCCAGTTGGTTGAGGCTGCAGTAGTGAGCCATGATCACACCACTCACTGCACTTCGGCCTGGGCGGCAGAGTGAGACCCTGTCTAAAAAAGAAAGAAAAAAAACCAGACAGACATGGTAACTGAAAGCAGTGACTGATCCTTAATGGGATCCTGGATGGATAAAAGGGAAAAGGTGTAAGGGACAAGGTTGTGAGGGCACCTGGCGTATGGACTATGCTTTAGGCCATATTAATATGTGCACTGAGTGCTCTCCTGGGTAAAGGAGGGGCTCCCTGGAACATTCCTTTCTTAAGTTTGAGGGTGGTGATGGTGTTGTGGTTGTGCAGGAACGTCCTTGTGCCTGGGAGTTGCATGATGTGTTTTGCAGTGAAATATCAGTGTATGCCACTGACTCTCAGATGGCTCGCGGGGAAAACGATGTGTATGTATCCAAGAGGGATAATGCCCATATGAGCGAAATATCGGTAATTGGTGATTCTGGCCGCCGGATATGTGTTCATTATTATACTGTTCATTCAATGGAGGGGGCATCTTCTCTGCTGTGCCAGGAGGGCTGGGCGTGGGGGTCCAGATTCTGTACATCAGACACCCCTACCCCATCTTGTGCTTAATAGAGAGTGCAGGATCCCTCCTGAGACCCTAATCTAACCCTCAAGTCCCTTCCCCTGCCACAGGAGAAGCAGGCTCTGAAAGGCTTAGGGTCCATCCCCAGTCCCCATGGCCCATCCGGGAGAGCCGGCTGCTGGCTGCACCCCTGAACTTCTGCTTCAATGCCTGATGCAACCGGAAACCTCTTCACTTACCCTTCAAGTCACCGCCAGCTGGGTCTCAGGGTAGGGGTAGGTCTGGGAAGGTGCCAGCCCCGGAGTTAATCTGAGCCACCTGTGGTCACCAGATGCTCCGTCACCACTAACAGGTGTATTGGGGTCTGGCCACAGTTGGGATGGGCTCCCAGGGACCTCTCTGTGGAGGGCCGGGCAGCCTGAACAAAGCTGCTGGGAAGGCAGGGTCTGTGCATCCACTGGGCCTGAGGTCATGAGCTTCTTGGCTGGGTTGGGCCAAGGGAGACCAGGAATCTGTGGCTCCAGAGCCTGGCCAGAGAACTTCCTAAAAGGCATGTTCCGGCCGGGTGCGGTGGCTCACGCCTGTAATCCCAGCACTTTGGGAGGCCAATGGGGGCTGATTCTGAGGTCAGGAGTTCAAGACCAGCCTGGCCAACAGGGTGAAACCCCATCTCTACTAAAAATACAAAAATTAGCCAGGCATGATGGCAGGCGCCTGTAATCCCAGCTACTCAAGAGGCTGAGGCAGAATTGCTTGAACCCTGGAAACCCAGGAGGCGGGGGTTGCAGTGAACCAAGATTGCGCCACTGTGCTCCAGCCTGGGTGACAAAGACTGTCTCCAAAAAAAAAAAAAAAAAAAAAAAAAGGCATGTTCCTACCACCAGGGCTCGGCACCTCCTGCTTCTGTGTGGACTGCGTGCCGTTCCCTCCCCCAAAGCTGGCTACCCACTCATCCTTCCAGTCTCTACCAGAACACTCCTGCCCAGGTTGGGTTTGGCAGTCGCCCTGCGGGGTCCTGCAGCCTCATTCTGCTGCGTCTTGTTTTTCACCACCTGTCGTTGACTTGACCTTGTCTGTCACGTTCAGTATGTCTCCCTCACCAGAGTGAGCTCTGCCCCAGCACTGGGCCTGTAGAGGTGCTCTGGAGATGCACTCAGGGCTTGCACCCGACAGAATGGCAGCAGCTGCAAGGCAGGGGGATACTGAGTACCCCGCCCTGGAGAATGTGCAGACTGTGGATCTGTGGGGAGTATAAACTGTCCTCTAGGGTGGTCTTTATCAGCCTATCCTTGATTCTGTGATAGCGTCTATCTTTCAAGGGTTTATTTCAAACAGGAAGCTGGTAAGTGCACACTCGTTTTCGGGAGAGGGGACTGTCAGCCCCATCTTCCTGCCCCAGATCACAGAGCTGGCATGTGACAGCTGGCATCCTGGCTGGCACTCGCATCAGGCTGTCTCCACAGAGCTTGCCTTTTGGGGGGGGGTCTGGCTCAGTTTCCTGGGCCCACTCTGCTCATCCCCCTGCAATAATGCCACAAGCCCTTGGTACACGTTACCTCATTTATTCTCACAACATGCCTGTGAGGTAGGGAGGGGCAGGGACTGTCCCCGTTTTACAGAGGAGGAAGTTGAGGCACACAGAGGTCAAGTGACTTGCCCAAGGTCACAGACGGCGGCCAAGCTGGAAATGGGCCCCGGAGCAGGCCCTTGGTTCACCTGGGGGAGTCCCCCCTGCAGCAAGCGCCAGCCAAGAGGATGTCTCGGATGCCAGAGAGGCGCATACACAGCGTAGAGCAGCCCCTCGGGTACTGAGCTGGCTTCGGGGCTGAGCCCCTGCCCTCCCCCACCCTGCCCTGCAGGCCCAGGCCATTGCAGCTCAGGGCTCGTGACACCCTGGGAGTGGGATTGGGGGGCTGGAGAGAGAGAAGGATAATTGGGGTTAAAAAAAAAAAAAAAAAAAAACTCAGAGGCTGGGCAGATGGGCCCTTGGGAGTAGGGGGGAGGGGGTGGAGACCAAAAATAAAAGAGGGCTGCTTACACACAAGGTATGTATTTTTACACACACTTGTACACACACCTAGATATAGTACATGTAAAAATATATGCTATTCACACACCCGCCTCCTGCCAGGTGCCCCGAGAGCCAGCGGCGGCGCTGGGTGGGCATGGGTGAGCAGATGGGCGTTAAATATACACTCTAAGGTCTATGTGCATATGTACACATACATACAGACACCGCCGCCCGCCCCTCGGGCACCAGACACAGGCGCGGCTGAGGACAGACAGCCCCTTGGAAGCCACTCTGAGTCCTAGATTTTGCTGAAGGAAGAAGGGGCTGGAGAGAATAAAAAGGCGGGAGTCTGGAGTGTGATAACTGTGGCTTCGTCTCATTTCCCCCTCCAAGACTAAAACCTCCCTCATCTGCTCAGTGGTGAGTCCTGCCTGACGCTGCCCAGGGCTGGCGGGGCACCTCCCAGCGAGGCGCCTCCATCTGCGTGTGTGTGCGCGCGTGTGAGGTTGTGTGTGAGCACTTGGCGGGGGAGGGAGGGGACGCGTGTCCATCTCTCTGTCCTCTGGGCCCTCAAACCGCAGAGAGGGCTGAGACCCAGAAAGCCGCTTGCCACAATGGTGACCACTGTGTGAGCTCTGAAGGGAAAAGAGAAAAACATAAGAATGAAAATCCAAGGTCAGAGCGGGGGGTAGCCGGGGAAAGGAAGAGGGAACATGGCAGGTGCCCAAGGCTGCCCTTGGACTGTCGTCATCTTGTAAACAAGCTAGTGTGAGTTCTCGTCAGATAGAAGGAGTAAAAAGACCGCAGTCTGGAGGCTGGGCCGGGAGTTGCTGACGTCCATCTATCTAGTCCACCACGGCCAGCAAGAGGAAAAAAAAGTTTTCTAGTTTCGTGATTTTTGTTGATTTTTTGTGAGTAAAATTTTCATAACCTAAAGCTGGGAGGGACCCAAAAAAGCCAAATGTGAGCCCTTGTATGCGTCAATTTGAAAGTTGGCTCAGGGTCTCTAGACAGAATAACCATAGCAAAGGTTGAGAAAACTCTGTTCCATTCGCACTTAGTTTTTGTGGTTTTAATGATTTAAAATCATTTCTTTCCTCCTGCACGGTCTCAGAGCCTGGTCTGGGCCTCCGGGACATAAATCTCGATGCTGTCTGCGCTCTCGGTGGCTGAGTTCTGCCGCACAGAAGCTGCCCGCTTCGCTGCCAGGAGTCTCTTGCGGGCCTCCTGGCGCTGCTTGTCGCTGGCGTCTGAGGCCTTGTCGCGGCTCACTGCCGGCTTGGATTTGGCTGGCTTCTTCGGGACCGGAGGGGGTGGTTTCTTCTCTTCCTTTAGTGAGACAGTGAGGAGGGAACAAAAATAAAATAAAGGTGCCACGTTTTGTGTGGCGCTACCCCCACCATATGCTGGCAGCTGGAGTCTCCACCCCAGCTTCCCCGCATCGGGCACAAGCAACACACACTTGGAATCAGGAAGCCACGAGAAGCGATGACAGTGGGAAGAGCACAAGGCACAGGAACGGAAAGCAAGCCTAGACTCCGAAGGTGCTCGAGCAGCAGGATGGGCAGATCCCCGTGTCCACCCTCATGTTGAACCACCAGGAGCTTGAGACTCAGGCAGGAGCTAGCCCGAGTACAGTCAGAGACTTAAATTTAGGGCTTCAGGTCCCATTTTACAGGCTATTCTAGGGGAGCAGACAGGGCCATGGTTCAGTAGGGGTCACTGGTTCTGTTGGTTTGCAGAAGGAGGCCTCGGGGAAGAGGCTGGCTACCACGAGGTCACAGAACTGGCTCCAGACCCCAGGACTCCTGGCAGCAGGGCCCCAGGACAAGGGACCACTTTGCTACCTCCTCTGTTACAGCGTGATTGAGGCTGTGGGCATGCCTCTCCCAGGACCCCCTTTTCTGGACATGCAGGGCAGGACACATGCTTCAGGGGCAGCCTCAACTATATGGAGCAAGCGGCATGCTAGACAAGTGCCAAGCATGGACCCCACGCAGTGATGGACGTGAGCCCCCAGCTCAAAGACGACACACGGAGAAGGGAGCCAAGCAGCACTGACCGATGTGGGCAGCGTTATTGCCGACCAGGAATTTGTCCCTGGACTTCCCCTCCGCACTGCTCCATGCTCACCTTCCTCTTCTCGGGGGTCTCCACCAGCTGCCAGCTGTTGGCCTTGAGGTGGTAGAGTTCATCGAACTTCATGCTGATGTCCTCGATGGACAGCTGTAGCAGGTCCCAGAACCCTGCCAGGTCCTGGGCTGTGGGGCGTGGGTTGGCATCAGGGTTCTGTGGGCCAGATGGGGATCAGTGGGGCGGGCTCAGCAGAGGCTTGTCCTGCTCCCCCGACCCCCCGTCTCCGCCGTCTCTGCTTCCCCCGCCCCGTGCCCTGCTGAAGCATGTTTCCTCTGGCCCCACCAGCACCCGAGGGGGCCCTTGAGGCCTAGTGTCCAGGTCAGTATCTGTATGAATGAATCTAAGCCAGTTCTGGTCAGCACCAGCCTTAGTGGTGGAGATCCTTGGGGACAGCCTATAGGGCTGTGGTGAGGAAAGCACTCCTGTCCCTAATGTATGCCAAGCAGACAGTTGTTTTGCAAGGAAGAAATACAAGTTTTTGGCCATGGTGTGAGTGACACCGACTGCCCCATTCACTCCCAGGTGGGGAAGATCACGGAATCCGTGTTGTCTCCCTCGTGTCACTCTGTTCCATGACAATGCAACCCCCAGGTCTCTGCAGGTCTTGGAGACAAACACTCTCCACTGCGTCCCGCTGGGAGCACACAGATTCCCACAGGCAGAACAGCCCAGGACTTTGCTTTTGACCCCAGCAGGGCCAGCCCTCCTAACAGGTAAGAGGGAGGGAGAAAGCCAAGCCACCAATCCCAGCAGTGGTATTTCTTTAGTTCTTACCTTGAATGTCTTCTAAGGTACAGAAAAAACATACATATATATATATATAATTTTTGAGACGGAGTTTTTGCTCATTGCCCAGGCTGGAGTGCAGTGGCGCGATCTCAGCTCACCACAACCTCCACCTCCCGGGTTCAAGCGATTCTCCTGCCTCAGCCTCCCAAGTAGCTGGGATTACAGGCATGCGCTCTCGCCCCCTTTCTTGTGTAGACACTGACACACATTGCCACTGGCCGCACTGTTTGTGTTACAGAGGAGGGCACAGAGGCTTCGTGGGGGTGGCAGAGTGTAGTGGGCAGCCAAAGGCTGGAAGCCCTGCTGTGGAGGAAGAAGAATCACACTCACCAAGTTTTGCTCACAGAGGCCCCGGAACTGCTGGAATTTCTGGGACATCAGTAGCTGGGCACTGCCCACCGCACTGAGGACTTTTCCTAAGACTGAGAAGCAGAGGGTGGGAAGACTGATTTAGCACAGCACAGCATTTGTGGGGACGGCATCATGCTTTTGATCTCCCCCCGCACACTCCCTTAGGGTAGAACTCATTATTTCATGATGGTGGTGGTCTTCATTTTACCTACACATTAGTCCATTCTCATTGAGAAAAACACAAACAATATAAAGTGAACCCCATCCCATTTCCTGAGGATATTTTATGGCAACAAATATGAAAACTGAGTATAAATGTAAAACATTTTCCAGAAAAACATAAGAAGGTCTTAAGAAATAGAGGCCGGGTACAGTGGCTCACACTTGTAATCCCAGCACTTTGGGAGACTGAGGCGGATCACCTGAGGTCGGGAGTTAAAGACCAGCCTGGGCAGCATGATGGAACCCCGTCTCTACAAATACACAAAAATTAGCTGGGCATAATGGCAGGTGCCTGTAATCCCAGCTACTCAGGAGGCTGAGGCATTTGAACCCAGGGGGCGGAGGTTACAGTGAGCCGAGATCGTGCCACTGCACTCCAGGCTGGGTGACAGAGCGAGACTCAGTCTTTAAAAAAAAAAAAAAAAGAAAAAAAATTTGATTAGACTCAAATATTTTTAAGAAACTGAAGCAGAACTCTTCTAAAAAAGGAACTAGGTCTAAGTTTTACAGCTGAGGTATTAAAAACTTTCAAGGAACAGGAAATCCCTTTTTTATATATTCTGTTCCAGAGATTAAATAAACATGGAAAATGATGCAACTTGTTTTAGGAACTCTGACAGCAGATAAGACATGCCAAGAATGGACCACTTTCACTAACATAAATGTAGGAGTCTTAAAGTATAAACAAATAGGATCTATCAGAAGAACTGTAAAAAAAATAAACATCCTAATTGATAAGTGTTTAACCCAGGAATACAAGGTTGATCTTGTCTTGTGACTTCCAGTTTTAAAGTGCTGGCATCAGCCAGGCATAGTGGCTCATGCCTGTAATCCCAGTACTTAGGGAGGCAGGAGGTCCCCGACAAAAACAGAAAAAATTAGCTGGGCGCGCTGGGGCGCATCTGTGGTCCCAGCCACCTGGGAGGCAGAGGCTGTGGTGAGCTTGGACCATGCCACTGTACTCCAGCCTGGGTGACAGAGTGAGGCCCCCTGCCTCAAAAAATCATAAAGTACTGGCACAGCCGGGCACTTTGAGAGGCCTAGGCCACGTGGTAAAAGCCCATCTCTACAGAAAATACAAAAATTAGCCAGACATGGTAGCATGTGCCTGTAGCCCCAGCTACTTGGGAGGATCACTGGAACCAGGTAGATTGAGGCTGCAGTGAGCTGTGATGACAGCATTGCACTCCAGCCTGAGCGACAAAGTGAGACCTTGCCCCCACCAGACACAAAAAAGGTGCTGGCATAAAGACAATGCTACCCATCCCCAACCCCCTTAGAAATCACTGAAAAGCAAACAAAGTAAACAAGAAGGGGGAGGCCGAGGTGGGTGGATCACAAGATCAGGGGTTCGAGACCAGCCTGGCCAACATGGTAAAACCCTGTCTCTACTAAAAATACAAAAATTATTCAGGCGTGGTGGCCCATGCCTGTAATTCCAGCTATTCAGGAGGCTGAGACAGGAGAATCGGAACCTGGGAGGCGGAGGTTGCAGTAAGCCAAGATTACGCCCACTACACTCCAGCTTGGGTGGCAGAGTAAGACTCCATTTCAAAAATCAAACAAAAAGTAGCACACCCAATTTTATTTGAAATTTAAAAAGGAGGCTTGGGCATGGTGGCTCACACCTATAATTCCAGTACTTTAGGAGTCTTGAGGCAGGAGGATCACTTGAGCCCAGGAGTTCAAGACAGCCTGGGCAACAAAGTGAAACCCTGTCTCTATGATTGCTTGAACCCAGGGTTTCAAGGCTGCAGTGAGCTATGATGGTACCACTGCATTCCTCCAGCCTGGATGACAGAGCAAGACCCTGTCTCAAAAACAAAAAAGAGTGTGGACTGCAGCAAGAGCTTTCCTGAACCTAGCCGGCAGCAAGGAGAATGACAGGGTTGGGGAGGCCCTGCATTGTGAGCAGCCCTGTAGTTGCCTGTGGAGAAGAAAAGCCTGATAGAACTCTCCCAGGCACCCATTCCCACCCTATTCCCACATATGATTCCTGCTGGCCTGGGACACAGTCCTGGCCCCGATCTCACAATGATCTACTTACAAGAGCTCATCAAGGAAGAATTCGCCTCATTAAGAAATTACTAATTAAAAGGGAACTGACACAGGAGTTAAAGATATTACAGGAACAGCAAATGGCACATGAATACTTACCAGAAATTGTTGCCAGGGAATAGATGAAAATTGTAACATTTATCCATGAATATGTAAAATAAGTCAAAGCAGAGATAGTAAGACAATGGAAGGAGATAAAACAGGGGCTCTGGAACTAGAGCAGGAGGAAAATCAGGCCATCATAGAAACAAGGCCACACTGGAGGTCGCACAGAGGTTCAACCCTGCTGAGGACTTGTCCTGAGTAGCAGAGCCCTACAGGGAGAGGAGGGCTGAAAGGCTCCAGGTACAAAGTGCTTCAGCTGCCCCATGAACAGAACAAAACATTTATTTTAAACGAATAGTTAAGCTGGGGGGAATAAAATGAGCCCCCCAGGGTAGACAGTGGGGACCTGTGCCTGGCTTAGTTTAAAGTGTGGGAATAAAAGGGAGTCTTTCCTAAAAAATTATAAGATCGTACCTGGGTACCTTATCTTTTTACAAACAGAAGTAGGGACTAAGTATTTAAAAAGACAAACTACTAAAAAGAGATTCAGAGACATGGAAGAGAAAGAACATGCATCTATCAGAGTTCTAAAAGGGGACAGAGAGATGGGAGAAATCAGAGGGATCATGGTTATCAATGTGGAGGCTTAGGCCTGTAATCCCAGCACTTTGAAAGGCAAAGGCCAAGGCAGGCAGATACTCGAGGCCAGGAGTTCAAGAGCAACCTGGGCAACATGGTAAAACTCTGTCTCTGTTAAAAATACAAAAAACAGCCAGGTGTGGTGGCACATGACTATAATCCCAGCTACTCAGGAGGCTGAGGCAGGAAAATCATTTGAATCTGGAAGGCAGAGGTTCCAGTGAGCCGAGATGGTGCCACTGCACTCCTGCCTGGGTGACAGAGTGAGACTGTCTCAGAAAAAAAAAAATTTTTTTTTTTTTTCCCCCAGAAATTGCTCCAGCCCTCAGAGCCAGGAAGTCAAATGAATCCTAAGCAAAATCCATACTTACTTATAGTAATACAAAGAAAGCTCTTAAAAGGCAGTGAAAGAGGGAGGAAAGTACGATCTCAATCCCATAAAACTGGATGTTGTGTCTAAATACATACAGGACCTAGAAGAACATGTCAAACTGTAAACAGCTGTGATTGCGGATGACTTTGTTCTTCTTGTGTTTCTCAGTTTCCTATAATGCAAATATTAATTTTTAAATTTTTTATTTGAGAAAATCTCTTGCTCTGTTGTCCAGGCTGGGGTACAGTGGTGCCATCATAGCTCACTGCTGCCTCAACCTCCTGGGCTCCCAAGTAACTGGGACTATAGATGCACATGCCATCAGACCCAGTTTTTTTTTTTTTTTTTTTTTTTTTGCTTTTTGAGACGGAATCTTAACTCTGTCGCCCAGGCTAGAGTGCAGTGGCACCATCTTGGCTCACGCAACCTCTGCCTCCCGGGTTCAAATGATTCTCCTGCCTCAGCCTCCCGAGTAGCTGGGATTACTGGCATGTGCCACCACATCCAGCTAATTTTTGTATTTTTAGTAGAAATGGCATTTCACCATGTTGACCAGGCTGGTCTCAAACTCCTGACCTCAGGTGATCTGCCTGCCTCGGCCTCCCAAAGTCCTGGGATTACAGGTGTGAGCCACACGAGTGCCTGGCCTAATTTTTTTGTATTTCTTATAGGAATGAAATCTCACTATGTTAGCCAGGTCTGTCTCAAACTCCTGGGCTCAAGTGATCCTCCTGCTTTGGCCTCCAAAAGGACTGGAATTACAGGTGTGAGCCACAGCGCCTGGCCTACATATTAATTTTTATTTTAAAAAATAAAGGGCGAGGAAAAATTGCTGCCAAAGGAATGAGTTTAACAGCAAACTCTCAACCATAATGGATGAAAACAGTAAAACAATATATTCGAAGTATTCAGATAAAGGTATAATTTACATTTCTACATTAGAGAAAGTATTATTCAAGAATGAATGTGGAATCCCAGCACTTTGGGAGGCCGAGGTGGGCAGGTCATCTGAGGTCAGGAGT